ATATATATATATATATATATATATATATATATATATATATATATATAGTACATGTTTTTAGAGTATTCACAGAGAAGTGTGTGAATCTCTGCAGAATGATTAAGTATAATACATGTTTTTTTTATTTACAGACATACAGTTTAGGTTGTGCAGCTTCATTTATAGTAAGTCAATGTAGACAGCACAGTTTTTAAATTTTATTTTTTTATTTTTTTATTTTACATTTCATGGTAATTCCCACATCTGGTCATGGATTTGTCTCTGCAGCTCATGAAGATGTAGAAACCTAAGACGATATGGTGAATGAAGAAAACTGTCATGGCTGCCACTAAAAGGATTCTTTAAATATGTTTATTCTGGACATTTGCTGAAATAAATTGTATTATTATTCTTATTAATTATTATTGAAGATCACAGATTCATAACATTTTTCCTGTCAGTTCAACAGAGTTTTCATTTTCAGCACAAATTTGGCGCTTACGTGTTCAAACAGAAATGTAATTACAGCAAAGTTCAGCCTTCACAATCTACACGTTCTGTCGGAGCGTCACCTAAAATAAAAGCAGAGTTAGATGTTTTTTGTTTCTTCTTGTTATGTGTGTTTAGATTTCTGCTCCTGTTTTCTGGGCATCACTGATGTTGAGCGGAGCTGAAAGGGACCGACATAAATGCTGTGATGCAAACAATTTATAAGGAGCTCTCAATGAAAAATAAATCCTTCAACCACTTCAGGCATGGGTCCTTGGAAAAGTACACACAAATATTAGTACTGCACTGGCAGAATGTCTGTCCTTTTAAAACAAACTCATCAGCAAATAAACAGACACGTTATGAAACGGTTCATCTTCTTGTAAAGCGCAAATTCTTTCTCGGATCCTTGTCTGTCATTTTTGCTCAGCTTGAAGGATTCACATCTTTCTTCCCAGAATGCACCATCCTCCAGCATCTGTGAGCGAAGCCTTCTCCTGAGAGCGTTTTGTCTGAAAGAACATCTCAGCACGGAGAAAGAAGCAGAACTCAGAATAAATCACAGCCTGCAGCTAACCGCGCTTTACTTTTGTTTTTAATGATTCAGAGGATTTTAAATGTTTGATGGTGAATGTTTTACTATCAGCTAAGTTACCATGTTCACATATTCTTCACTAAATGATCACACTTGTATCTTAAGATCAGGAGCTTTAGTTTCTCCTGAGAATCTCTCTCTCTGCAGCGTTTGCTTTTTTATTTAAAGCTCAGGTTATAAGTTCATGTAAACTGATCATTTCATAATTACATGAGCTTTTTCTGCTTCTTTTCTTTGTTTGTTCAGATGTTTAAAACCTGCTCGAAACATAAGATAAAGATAGCACAGCTTGTATAAACATTACATATATTATACATATTATACACAAACTAACATAAGAAAGATTGAAGCAATACACTGATAAAAAATGTTGGTGTCTTTACATGTCAGAACAAAAGAAAAAAAAACTTTTGAAGAAGGGGATAAAATGTTTTATTTTACCTCCATTTGTTTAAATGTAAAAATGTTCAGACAAATAACTTAGAATTAATAACCACACACACGTGCATTTTAATAAATAACCAGAGCAAACATAAAGATCTAAACCTCATCATTTACTATATTTGTGAGTATTTTTCCTGTTATAAAAACGAACATCTTTATTTGTTTCAACTTTGATATTTCTTTTTATAAAAAGCAAGCTTTGGCATTATTCCATTATTATTTAATATGCTTTAAAAACTGGACTTTGTGATTTCCCCCCTGCAGCCATAACTGGATAAAAATGTTTTATTTTCAAAGATCATCTTTGTATTATTTGCATCGTTTAGTCACATAAAATCAAAAATGATGAATGTGGCCCTTTGTTTTGTGGCTCTGAGTGCATGTTGGTTTGTTTGGCTCAGAGCTCTGATGAGGCGCTGCCGTGGACCAGGGGCCTCGCGTGGACCCCGAGCCGCAGCCGCTCCAGCATCAGCACCACGGACAGCTCCCTCATCCTCCTCCTCAGGTGTGAGCTTTCCTTCCTGCTCCGTGAAGACGCAGAGAGCGCGCACGATCACGCGCCGTGCACAGTCCACATTCAAACAACAGCTTCTCTTTTTTTTCCTTCCCTCCTTTCTATTTGTGTCCCTCCATCATCTCACGCGTGGAGGGGGCTGCAGTTTGAAGCTTGAAGAGAAAGAAATCTTCAGTTGTCTGTCTATCCTTTAATATTTGAATGAATGAAGCCAAATGAGGAAAAACCTCAGATCCTCCCCCATTACCTCTGGAGTGGGGGTGGGGTGGGGGGCTCGTGTCTCACCCACTAACGTGACTGAGCGCGTGGCCTGTTTACCTAACAGCTAACTGTTGGTAAATATTGCGGCCGCTCTTAAAGCTGCTGCTAATCTTTCACATTTCCCTTTAAATGGGCTTGTGCATGAGAGAACCCCCCCCCCCCCGCCCCGCACACACACACACACCCCACACACAGAGACCCCCACGCACATTGTTTCAGCAGCACAGGGAGCGCGTGCAGCCCTTGTTTCTCCACATTCACTCAGATGAAGCAGAGGTGCTTTGGGGGGGGGGGGGGGGGGGGGGTCTCAGGTTCCTCTCTGACCCTCGGGTGGGTCTAGCTCCACGGTGTCCTCCACGCACCGGCCGGCCTTTCACAATGCGCGTCCACGCAGTCCAGGTCCTCCTGCGGCCGGGGCGCGCGTTGGGTCCTGCGTGGAGGCTCTGGACGTGTAACCATGACAACTGCGCTCTGATTGGCTCATCTGGCACGAGAATTAACAAGGGCAGCGTCCAATCTGAGCCGAGGACGCGCCGCGCGCTGGCAAACCCTCGTGATAACGCGAGCACAGGGACGTGAGGGTGGCACGGGGAGGAAATGAGTGGAGCCAACAAACCGCGCGAGCAGGAGGAGAGGATTTAAAGTAAAAAAGGAGCTGAATGAGGAGATCTCAGCGTGTCAGACACCAACATGGCTGCTGTGTCCAGGAGCTGAATGACCCCCCCCCTTCTCTGGACTGTGGATGGTGACAGCCTCCGAACAGGACCAGGTTCACGCCAGCTCCCGGGGACTGTCTTCCAGGGAGAAGCTGGTCCAGGTTTCTCCTGGCGGCGCTCCTTCCCCAGGAGCCAAGACGTTGTTCCGCGCAGAGCCGGGCCCCCCCAGTCCGAGCAGCGCAGTCCGAGTGGGAAGGTCGCGGGCCGCAAACATGATGGTCCTGTGCGCCGGGTGCGAGCGGCCCATCCTGGACCGCTTCCTCCTCAACGTGCTGGACCGAGCGTGGCACGCCAAGTGCGTGCAGTGCTGCGAGTGCAGCTGCAAACTGACGGACAGGTGCTTCTCCCGGGACGGAAAGCTCTTCTGCAAACTGGACTTCTTCAGGTAACACGAGCCTGATGAAACAGCTCACAACTGATGTGCCACCTAGCATTTGTTTACCAGCTGCAACAAACAAGATGTAACTTAAATTCATTTTCAGGAACTTCTTTTCTTGTGATTTGATCAGAGCTTGAGTCTTTCAGCGTCATTAAACTCGTCAGCAGCAAAGTGCTCGGATAATTGAGGCAGAAGTGATCCCCCCCCCCCCCTTCCCCCACGGTTTGTCCCGCCGCGCGCCCTTTGCATCATTTTCATTTGGACCTGACTCCTCTCCCTGACGTGGAGAGGCGCGCGAGCCTTTGTTGGCCCCGCGCGGCCTCGGCCCTCAGCCCCGCCATTAGCCGGGCGAAACAGTAATCACCCTAATGTGTCCATTTGCTGTGCACGTAAAGTTGTGCCCTGTCTCCGGGGGGAGGTGTGTGTGTGTGTGGTGGGGGGGGGGGGGGGGGGGGGGGGGGGAAGAGGGGCGGGGGGGGGGGGGGCATGCATGTGAAAGGAGGACGATGAGAAGATCCCTGTGCTAATGGAAAGACAGGCGTCCAGTGGTGTAGAAACAATGAAGACAAAAAAAAAAAAAGAGTCTGAGAGCCCCCC